CCCCCCCCTTGGTTTTTCACAAGGTTTGAGGAAAATAAGACATAAAAGTCCCACACTTTGGAAGCCTGGTTCCCCAAAAGGCGAGATGCTGTGGGACTGAAGACCCATCGCCGTCACCACCACTATTTTTAGTTCTGGGGTTTATACGGGAAGAGCTAGGAATAGGCCGCAGTGGTCACTATGCTTTTTCTCTTACCGTGTTGGCAAGTAACAGTGTGTCCATCCCAGGGTCTGGCCCCAGCACCTGGCACTGGTAGCCAGAGAAGTCTCGGTTTGGGGGTAGGGAGGGTGCCCTGTGTATTGAGGGATATTTGGCCTCATTCCTGGCCTCCACCCAGTAGGTACCAGTAGCATCTCCAGGTGATGATAACCCCAAAATGTCTTCAGACTCTGTCAATATCCATGGGGGTCCAAGTCACCCTGGCTGAGGACCCCGGGTGACAGCAGTGGCAGGGCATGTGGGTTAGGAAACGCTGCAAATCCCCCAGCGGGCCGCCATGGGCCGAGCAGGGCACACGCCGGCGGCGGCTGTCCCCACCAGGTCTCACATTCCTCCCCGGTGTATGGCATGGAATTTTAAAACAAGGACTTGTCAGGAAACCACACAGCAGCAAGCCCAGAATTCCTGAGCTTACAAAATAAGCCATGGAAACACTGTGGTGGAAATATAATGAAGCCATAAAGCACGCACTTCACAGACACGAACCGTTTGGCCACGGCTCCCCAGCCAGGCCCACGCAGTGACCTAGTCGTCCGTGAGCACCGTCCCTGCCTCTCCGGTGCGCGGAGAGTGTGGTCAGAGGAATCAGGATGCCAGCGCCTGCCTTTTCATTCAGCGGGCGATTGGGCCTTCGGGCGAGGCTCACGTCTCTGCTCCAGTTTTTCCAATTGAAAAATACATGGACTGTCCGATCTCCAAGGGAAGGCGAGGAGGAGGCGGGGTGGGAAGAGATCAACCAAAGACCTTGTATGCATATGTGCATAACCCCTGGACACAGACAATAGGGGGTGAAGGCCTGGCGTGGGGGGCAGGGGCGGGCTAGAAGGGGGGTAATTGCGGGGGGGAACATATGTAATACTTTCAACAATAAAGAGGTGTTTTTTTAAATGTATAAAAAATGCAGGTGATAATAACGGACACCCTGACCTGACTGGTTTTTGGTCCTCCATTCACTACAGGGCCTCGGGTCGTAATAACCAGTAGGGAGAAAATCACTACAACCACAAGAAACAATTGTGCCTCCAACTTTTGGCCTGAAAAAGAGAACTTGTTTCACCTTTGCCACGGAATGCCGTAATCCGCCTTCCACGCCGTCTCACTGTGCTGGCCTCCTTTGAGCCACAGCTGCATGGACCAGAGTACCCTGCATGGGAGTAGCACTCGCCCCCCACTTTCCTATCATCCCAGAAGGCGCCTACTGAGGGATGTTTCCCTAATCATCTCTCCTGCTTCGTGACATTTTAATACCAGAGATCTACTGAACATCTCCCTTCGGAGGCCATGAGCCATTGTAAAGACTCTTCGTGCTCCCCACAAACCCATTTTCACCCCCTGGGGCAACACTGCCCCCACCCAGGGCCCCCAGTATAGAGGGATCTACTGTGCAATGTGTGCCCAGAGCTGGGAAAGTCCCCTTTTCCTCGGCGGGGCCTTCAATGGGGGCTTCTGGAGGGACCCAGAACACCAGAAAGCGAACAGGAGAAGCCAGACAGTCCCATTGGACCTCAAGGCTACTCACCACCCGAGAGGTCGGAATTCCTGGGGCGGAGCCACCTCCCTCTCCCAGGACCCCCCAGTCTCTGGGGCCAACAGCACCTCTCGGTGGCCAAGCCCAGCTAGACCCCAACCATGGCCTACCCTAGCCTCATCTTTGAGGGGAAATCCCACCAACCGGCATTTCTTGGGAAGCTTTCAAAGGATTCTGTCAGGTGTTAGGATTATAAAAATAAACTGCAAAACTGACTACGGACGAAGTCATGGACACGCATGGACACGGGTGGGTGGCGAGGGCCGTGCAGCGGCGAGGTGCGTGCGTGCCCTGCAGAGAAGGACCAGCTCTAGCCAAGCAGCCAGGGGGTGGATCTCCTGATTTCATGGCTTTTATGTGAAATCTGGATTTGATGTGAAATCTCCTGGTTTTTAAATGCGGGTTTTAAATTTTAAAACCCTTTGTGGACCTTAAAAAGGAAACACAGCTGTAGGCAACATAAGCCTATCGATCTGTAAGCTATTTGCAAACCAACAGCAGGAAAAATGTCCCCTCGTCCCAGAGGAGAGAGGCCCTGACCCAAGGTGCTTCCCAACGTCGCAGAGGGTGCTGACGGGCGAGGGGAGGGGACGCGCCTACAAAGCAGTGAGGTGGGGAATTATGCACGACGTCCCTGCTTCAGAGCCTTACTACTGAAGAAACACTGGGAACGAACGTGTGCCCTGGCTGCTTAAAGAAGTGTCAGTGGCATCCTCCTGTGACCACTGTGAGGCAGACTTCGTGCACTTCAATCCGCTACATATACCAGAAGCTCTCATCGTCACTGATTTCACCGGAGCTAACAATTTAATAATGGTGCCTTTTCTGCCTAATGAGACAATATGTAACATCGTCCAACCAATATTATGCTACACATGAATTTTAAAATTCCCAAAATATGTAAGCAATCCTAGCTCCTTAAACGTTTGCTTGGTATAAGGATACAAGTGAATTCCAGGCCTGAGTTCAATGGCTTCTCTTCTGGACAATTACAGACATTGTTCAGCAGTTTGGGGTCTTTCTGAATACAGTCCCTTCCAAGTCAGAGAGCTGTGCCAGGCGCATTCTCCAGGCTCAGGAGTTCCAGTTATTTTTCATATCAAGGCTCTAATGAATACTTAATGCAACACTTTGTATTTTGCTGATAAAAAAAAAGATGCAGCATTCAAATCAGTGCAACTCAGAGATAGGCACAATGTAAAAGAAAAGGTGATCTATTTGAAGAGTTTCAGAGTAGTTATGGGTTCAAAGTCAATGGCTAAGGTTAAGTCAATGTAGAGAAAATTACCCAATTTGTAAACTCTTTAGCTAAGATCTGAGTGATGAGAATAACCTCTAATACAATAAAAAAAATGCTCTCAGTGATATCAGAAGTTAATGTTAATAGCCACAAAGTGTTTAAAACTGAATATAAAAAATTACAGATTCTTAGCCATTAAGTATTGTTAGCACACTCCAGTTTTGACATACTATCATAAAAGATAATAAAACTCATAAATCAATTGGCTGTCCAATTCTAATATTTACTTTTCTCAAACTGGTTAGTTAAAAGAAAAAAATATCACATTGAATATCCTTTAGCTCCCTAAACATTAGACCTCATAGAAATGAAAACTTCTGGACAAAAAATGGAGACTGAAATGTATAGGAGCCATCATTCAAATAAAGCAAAGTTCTTAATTATAATGGAGACTAGGTTTTTAGTCTTTTTATCTCAAACTTCTCTAAATTTCCAACCTTAACATAAAAATGGGATTTAAAATGGGATGCTGCCAATGTCTAGAATAAAACAGCCTTTCACTGCTGGATTGAACTAAGATGAACCTGAATGCAGGTTCCCTTAAATTTTTTGTATAAATTTATTTTCCTAAACAAAACAAAATTTTAATTTCTACTAAATCTCAAAATAGGAAAACCCTGCTCTATGTGAGTCAGTGTGTTGATTTAATAGGGGAGGTGCTCTGGTGTGTGAACGAGGCCCCAGCCAGGAAAGGTCAAGAGGAGGAAAAAGGGTGGGGTGGGTCCTGAAGGGCAAGCCCAGGGGTTCACCTCCGAGGAATGACCCCCAAGCACCACCCCAGAGCCAGGAGTGAGGACTCAGCCACTTATTAGCCCGCCCGTATCACCCACTGACTGAGTGTGCTGTGGATGGTATGAGACGGCCTCTAGCTGCTTCTAGCTCTAGGAAGTCATTGAGTTTAATCTGTGACTTTGGAAATTGACCAATGAGAACAGGAAAGCATTAACTGAGATGTCAATATCTGGATGAAAAGTGATATAAGCCAGAAGTCACTTCTCACTTTTCCCTCGGGCATGTAAGGGTGGACCAAGGGGAAAGAAGATAGGAAGCGTCAGGGTAGGGCATCTCACTCCATCCTGCACCACCTCTCCTGTGAGTCTTGATCAAGAAACGATTCTTTCTCTCTCCTCATCTCTTTCATTCTCTACACACACATACCCAGCTACGTGCACGCCTGCCTCACCCTTCCTCTTCGTGCTACTCAGAGGGAGACTGTGGAGGGTCCTCTTTGGTGGCAGCTGGGTTGGCGGTATGGGCAGTAGGACAAATCTCATCACCTACCAAAATAATCTGTGGGCAAAACTCTGAGGGGTGTAACCTTGGAACCCCTAGTTAAGATTTCTCCCAGAAGCTAACTGATTTTAGAGTTCGGCAAGAGTCAGTAAACTCAATTATTCTTAGAAATATTTCAATGGTAGCAAAAGCGAAGCAACAAAGCATGCAGCCCAAGTGAAGGTAGATTTCTAAAACAGAGGAAACCAAAGATGGCAAAAATGCATCTTAAAATTCCAAGACTCTCTCAATAATTCCTTCCCAGGCTTCGGTTGAGTACGGGTATTTCCTAACTCATGGGGATATTTCTTTCCCTCAGCCTCATCACACACTCCTGGAGGAATTTTGACTCAATTCACGGCCACTTCAGTGTTTTCTCTTTAGAAGATGGACTGATGAGAACTGTGAGTTATGTTTTCTGACGGGGAGATGTAATTCCGCACGAACCTCTTGCTTCCCGATCCCACAGGTAACACGCCCTTAGGACAGACAGGGGCTGCCTCTGGCGCTGATGCTCAGTCACGTTTCTCTGTGTGAGCAGGTGTGTGCATGTGTGCGGACACTGTTCCCACCGAGAGAAGGGGGGCCTTGTCCTAGGGACACAGCCTGAGACCCCCACAGCCGCCAGCACCGCCAGCGCTGCTCAGAGTGGGAGGAGGGCACTGGAAGGGGGCGCTGACCTGCACTGGCTCGGGCGGCAGCTGGACCACGTGCTGCATGCGCTCGCTGTGGTGGTGCCGCGACTCCTCCTCGTAGATCACGTCCCGCTCGTGCTGGGGGAGGTTCAGGAAGCGACGGATGGTGCACAGGTTCTCCCAGAGCGTGCGGTTCTCCGGGCTGGGGTTCTCCTTCCAGCGGAGCAGCTCGCACAGCCAGCCCTGGGGAGAGAAGGTCCCTAGAGGTCACCTGAGGAGCGCAGAACAGAGGCTGCTGGCTGCTGGCAGCGCCTCCCCTGTGATCACACTCTCCTGCCCACACTGCTCCCACCAACCTGGGGAGGCACGGGGGCGGGGGCAGCCGGCACCTCTACACCCAACTAGAGACCACTGGGCGGGTCACAGCAATCAATGCCTGAGAATATTCACTCGTGGTCATCATCTTAGCACCTTTCCTATCACAGACATTCTCAGTTAATTCTCAGTTCCTTTGTAAAAGATGCTCAAGCAAGATTAGTTAGCCAATCCTCAGAAAAAAGCAATTTGTGTTGGTCTACTACAATTTTTAAAATTAGCCAATTGCCTGCGGACTGAAGGATTCCCGGTTGGATTCCAGACAAGAGCACATGCCCAGGTGGTGGGCTTGATCCCCAATAGGGGGCGTGCAGGAGGCAGCCCATCAATGATTCTCTCTCATCATTGATGTTTCTATCTCTCTCACCCTCTCCCTTCCTAAAATTAGCCAATTGGATGGTATCCCACCCTATGAAAAGAGTGAAAATGAACAAATGTGTATTACAAGATGGAAAATTCTAAAGAAAAACAATGTCTAAGTGTGAAGAGCACTGAATTCCCTAGGGAGAAAACAGCCTTACAATCATCAATAATTCCACCTAACAGAAGCAAGCACCTTAGCTAGAAAGAAAAAAGAAGTGTATATGTGCTCCATCTCTGAATGCCTGCAGCTCCAGGCCCTGTCCCCATCACCTTCCCTCCACAGCCACACCTGCAGGAATGTAGGCAGTGGGCCAGGTCACACCTGCAAATGTGTGCCTCCCACCTCTGGCATCCGAATGTTCTCGCAACGGCACGAGGAAGAAAATGCAATGCAAATAATGATGGAGTATATGAAAATAATACAGAGGATGCTGTCAACATCGCTCGCTGACTCGTGTCAAAATATTTTCCCCAGTCGCTTTCTAACTCATCATTTCCAAGCTACGTCGCTAATTTTAAAAGCAAGAACTGTCCCACATCATGCCTCTTGTAAAAGAGTCAGAATTTTTCCAGCAAGGTGCATAAGTAAACACAAATGACTTCGTGAAAAATCAACCCCACACCTCCACAAATCTCTATATCACAACTTGTAAGCCAATGGGCGTTCCCGACACGCATCCTAAAGCCCCCATAGCATATCATGAGCTGTTGTTCGTCAGACACTCCACTGTGTCTTCTGCCTTTACTGCCCCCACTCCCCCCAAAAAAGGCAAGATTTGATTATCTCCGCTGCATCGGCCAAAACAGCAACACCAGCTGTTCGCATTGTGCAGCCTCTTCCTCGCGGCCTCCATGTTAATAACCTGATCATTCCATTTTCTCCTTCAACTGCTGGCTGCGGCACCGCGAGGAGACAAAAACCCAGGCCCATCTGCAGCAGCTGTAGGCACTGAACTGTGAAGCCACCGGGGATTTATAAACTAATCTGTAACACAACACTGCCTTGTTTTTACAAGTGAGAGGCCACATTTGCGCAGACCTGATCTTTTCTTGCAATAAACTGGAAGCTGGGGAGAGTTAGAGGGCTAGGAAGAATGAAAACAAGGCATCTAATCATTTCTTTGGAAATGTTTTTCCAAGCATTTTCATAGATTTTTTTTTTCAACTCAACAGAGAGATAGGTAGGTACTAGTTGATTTTCAAGGTGCAACGTCTAGGAACATCGGAGACAAAACGTTTATCTCTATCAGAAAATTCATGATTTTTTTTTTTTTTAAAAAAAACCTCCCAGTCCCAACGTGTTTCCTCGAGGGTTTCTTGGTACAAAGGAAAGGATTCTTGAAATGGAAATCATCTGTGGAAGAAATAAGCTATTTCCCTGTCGTTTCACAGATCTGAATGCGTCTCCAACTGAACTCTTTCCGATCTCTCAAACAGGCATGCTTAACCTCTCCCAGGGGAAGCCACAGCCTGGAGACCGATCATTTAACAGAAAATAGAAACAAAAACCTACATCTGTTAAAGGATGAAGTTCTGAGATGCCCAGACCTTCAGGGGGACGGCACCTGCCGTTCCGCCAGAGGCGTGAACTGCATTGTGGGAAGCCAGCGCTTGAAAGGGGACAGGTGACAGCTGAGTGGTACCTCCACTTAGGACGCTCGGAATGTCTCGCACCACAGTCACCGCCGCGTTTGATTTATAGGCGCTGCTGTAATCGGCGCTCATTACAATCACTTAGAACCAACTATGGCCTCGTCGCGGGCCCTGCTGTCTGCCATCAGTCTTTAAGGAGTGTGGTGCTCAATTTGCCCACTGACATGCGAGGTCCCGACCTTGAAGCTATTAGGGAGCGGATTAGACACAAGTGTGATCATGTGTGCAGACATAAGCAAACCAAATTAATTTCTGGCACAGGGAGGGAGCCAACAGGACCCTGTTCCCGGGGCGCCAGAGCACTCCCCCCCGCCCCCATCCCTGGTGGAGCTGAGCTAATCGCGTGTTTAAGGGAACCCGGTTTTGAAGATGAAGCACATTCATGGTATTTAGAGGGTTATTAATCTAGTTTCCCCACCAAGTGTTTGCTTGGCTGATCAGATTAAGGGCTGGAGCCTTCCGCAGCGCGCCCCCTCCGCAGCAGGCCCCGAGAAATCTGTGATACTTCACAGCCTGGACATATTGCACCATGTGTACCCAGCTGCTTCAATAATTAGCTTATGAATGTATCAGCTGGTTCTGCGATTTTTATAAATAATAACTAACCTACGGAGCAGAAAGATTGTCAGGAGCCTTACAGCAGCACAAAACGGCCAGGAGCTCTCGCTGTAACTGGGTCTACTGAATGCCGGGATTCCCCGCTCACGGAGCTCCCGTGGTGTCACTTATAAGTTATTTATTTTGCATCTGAAGTGGCAACGTGTCCTCGTCCGTTTGCTTCACGGCAGCCATGATTTGCCTTCTCCTCACTCTCCCTATTTTATGCTCACCTTCCAGAAATCTATTCTCCCACCTCACCTCCCATTTCACTCCCCATCTTTTTATTCACGCCACCCTTCCACCAAGCCATTGGGGAAGCTTATCTTTGTTTTCTCAGTGGGACGTCTCATGAGCTTGTTTGGTGGCTAATGAATGTGTGAGAAAGTACCACGCTCTTGCCTGAACACACATGTATGTAACTATGAGTGAACCCATCTCAGGAGAGATGAGTCCCCACTTTGGGATTTTTTTCATCTATATAAATTTTGCATGCCATCCAAGAAAGTTTTGCAGTATCAGGCAAAAAAAAAAAAGTGTAAATGTCAAATAAAACAGTGACAGATGACAGTATTCTCTATTGAATAGCACTGTTTCTGCCGTGCATGTTCAATGGGAACTCATGAATTATTAATAAACAAATCTCCTTTTTCTGTTAAAAATCTCAAGTAGGTTTTTTGTTGTTGTTCCCTGTGTGGTATGTGGTGCATTCCAGGAGAATGAGGTCCATTTTGGAAATACTGATACAGGCGTTCATCTGATTCTCAGCCCTGGCAGTTCCGTGAGAGGCACCATGAGCTTTTAATCTGGTTGTAAGTTTTGACCAAATGTTGGCTAAATATTCCTATAGTCAGTTGAGCTTTTTTAGTATGGTAAAACTAAGGCTAAGTGTTTGAGCACAGCTGAGAAGCACAGAGAGCATTCAACTTGGATCCCAGAGACCTAACTGCTAAGTTCCTGCTCCAACGTTAAGTAACTGAGTGACTTTCAGGCAAGTGGTTACCCTCTTGGAGCTTCTGGGAAATTAATATGGTACATTCCATGATTTGTTACCTTATTTGCCAGAAATAGCAGATAATAGTTGACTATTAGGATTAAAGGACAAAGAAGAAATCACCTTGACCAAGGTGATCAAGGTCAACATCACCAGCGATGATATGTGGACACCATGAATCCTGTGATGTGATGCACCAGGAAGGACACACATAAAATCTGCGGTAGCCTAGCCCAAAATGCGTAACCTCAATCGAATCATGACAAACCCACATTGAGAGATGGTCAACAAAAGAGCATTCTGTGAAAATGGCAAGGCCAAAGAAAAAGGAAAGTGTAAGGAGCAGTCGCCGACCACAGAAAACTAAGGAGAAATAATAAAAAACGCTGTGTGGTTTCTGGAACAGGAAATGGACTTAGAGGAAAACTATTGAAATTAGAGTACATTTTTTAAGTTTAGTTAATTACATTAAAACTGTTGATGTCCTGGTTTTAATTATTGCACTACAGTAATTTTTTTGATGTAACGTGTTAACATTAGAGAAAGTTACGTGAGGGATATATGGAAACTACTCTTTTGCAAACTACTACATTTCTGTGAGTCTAAAATTTGTTCAAAAAAAAAATTAAACATAGGGACTCCAGAGAGGGAATAAGAAAAATTAGAACAGCACAGGTATATTTTTAATGATTTAACCCCTTCCCCGGCAGAAACGTGTATACTCGTTTTCACAAAATGTTCTTTTTCAGTCGTCGACGAGTATACTAAGAAAATATGGTAAAAAAATATGGTTTATAGGAAGACAAGTTACAAACTGTTTTCATAACCAGCATCAAAAATACTATATAGAACCAAAATAAAAAAGTTAGTCTGAAAAAGAAACGTTTTTAACAAAAAAATTGTTGGGGAAGGGGTTAAAGGCTGCATCCTTGTAATCGATGCTTAAAGCATTCTCACACATTCAGTGCATATGCAAATTGTATCTATTAACATCTCAGTTTAGCCATGTTGTCAGCCTCTTAACCAAATATATTCCCCTCAGTAGAAAAAAACAAGTCCGATCCTCCTTTTCCACTATGAAGGGGAGGCGGCACGCACACCCGTCAGAATATAGTTTATTTACAACTCCACGTGTTCCTACCCCCTCAGTAGAAAAAAACAAGTCCGATCCTCCTCGGCACGCACACCCGTCAAAATATAGTTTATTTACAAGTCCACGTGTTCCTATAAAGTTGTACATCAATCTAAATTTACAAAGCAA